CAAAACTCAAATTCTGAGTTTCCTCCCTGGAGATGCTTTGCCAGGCCTTCACTGCAGCCACCTTCAGTTGCTGCTTGTTTGTGGGTCTTTCTGCCTTCAGTCTTGTCTTCAGTAAGTGAAAAGCAGCTCTATTGGGTTGAGATCAGGCGACTGACTTGGCCATTGAAGAATATTCCATTTCTTTGCCTTCAAAAAGTCTCGAGTTGCTTTCACAGTATGTTTAGGGTCATTATCCACCTGCACTGTGAAGCGGCGTCCTATCAGTTTTGTAGCATTTGGCTGAATGTGAGCAGAGAGTATAGCCCTATACACCTCAGAATACTCTGGAGAATACTCTGTCATTGTCCAAATACTTCCGGACCTAACTGTATATATATTTTAACTGTTCACTGCATATTTCTGCAGAAAAACACTTAAGAAACCCAACGTCCAGCAGAGTTTTCGCGATTGGCACGGTTTCCGACTGCACAGCTGATAATATTATTACGCACTCCTGTACTCTTCCTAAAATGGAAGTGGTGGAAATGCTAGTTTTCCTGTCTTTCAGGGTTAAGGCTTCTGGATGATTCAGTCGTCTCTCACAATATTTTGAAATGTGATATTACAATTAGAAAAAAATGAATATCGGACAAGCCTAGTTCAGAGTGATCTTGAGGTAATAAGCATATTTTTATCTGTTCATTAGTGTGTTACGTTTATGTTTGCCATTGCCACTAGTGGATTTATAGTTGTCCCGTGAGTGTTACATAATCCTATGCTGTCCTCTTATTGGTGGCTTTTTGACGAGCATCATAGCAGCAGTCACACTCTGAGACTTCAAGACAAAAATTCTGTCGTTGTCTGTCTTTAGTATTTAAATCAGCTGCCACATCACATTATGCATAACAGCATCACATTCTGCATTCTCAGACCACTGATCTTAACTCATTATCGAATATTTCTGTTACAGCGTGCTATTATGTGTCCGCATTACAGCGTATTACAGTGTGCCGTTGTCTGCTGTAAACATTGTCAGGATGAAAACCGTACAGTGTAAAGCTGGCTTTTTTTTAACATGTTAATGATTAACAGCTGAAGCTGCTCATATCTCCTATGTGTCAATGGGAGGGATTTGAGTGTGTATATGCATGGTTGTGTGGGTGGTGTATGAGTGCTATTCCCTTTATGAGTGCTATTCCCTATATTATATATTATTCTTGCATACTTTTGTCGTCATACTTAATATACGAATATTTTCTTAAGCCCAAGTGGATCCCTGAAGAGACTGACAAAAAAAAAAAAGTCCTGAATTTTAAAGACGCTAACTCATGTTAGTGCTTTGGGTTTAGCCAGGCTGAGCCGAGAGAGGAAAGAGGAGAGAGGAGAGGAGCGAAGTGTCTGCATTCCTAACAGCCACGCTCTGCCAGCAGAATTTCCAGGAAGAGGAGGCGAAAAGGGGGGAGGGAAAGGGGCTGGAAGTGTACACATCCGGAACTCGGTCCTGATAGCCTCCGCTGATGGGAGGGTGTCAGTGTGTGTGTGTGTGGTTGTGTGTGTGTGTGTGTGGTTGTGTGGGTGGGACGTGTGCGCTCTTCCCAGCATGTGTTTCTTTTTCACAGTTATTCTCATCAGTGTGTGAAGCAATAGTTGCTATGCTGTATTGTAGTGTTTATTGTTCTACAGACGTTCTGTAAAACAGTGTAGTATCTGTTTAGAGAGAAGAAAAAAAAGTCCTATGAGTTTTAATACGAGTCGTCTTTACCAAAGATTTTCGTGGACTAGAAGATAAAACAGTGTAAAGTAGACTTTCAGGTTTAAAATAAAATAAATCCGTGTAAAATACATACCGATTAAGAAGCTACAGAATATAATACTTCGACACAATGTGACGTTTAAAAAATGTCTTTTGTTTGCATAAATTCAGCCTACTATTCAACATTATCAAATGTTCGATATATTAAGTACATATATGAAGTAAGTGTAAGTGATTGTGGCCCAGTGCTTCTGTTCCATGTGAAAAAGCACGCTCTTGTAGAGCCACAAGAAGAAAAAGATTGGGCAGATCTTTTATTCATTCATGGCTCCCCCTTGAAAAAGAAAGCCACATTCCATGCCTGCTTTCCCATCGTTTGGCCTCTAGATCAAAGCCTGCTGGGAGCTCAAAGGCCACACAAAGAGCAGGAACGAGAGAGAGAGAGAGAGCTCGGGTTGAGACGTGGCTTTTGAGCAACTTTATCTCCTTGAGAGCGACCGTCAGATTAGCCTTGAACAGTCCAGGTCACTGCGTCTCACCATGGTGTCCATCAGTCTTGACGGGGGGGAAGGAGATCTCAGGTCACCTTTGCAGCTTTCAGACCTTGGAGTTTTCCATTAAGTAGTCCATCTCTCCCCCCGACAAAAACTTCCAATGCACCGGAAACATGTACCTGAGGAAATGAAGCTACATAAGCAGTTACCAGTTCATTAGAAGCATGTACCAGAACGTTCCTGAAAGGCATTAAGGATATGCGATTATTCAACTTAATTAAGCCTCAGTGACTGGGATATGTGACTCAAGCCGGGCAGTGACTGAACTTCCCAACACTCCCACACACATTTTACCAGAAGCTGTGTTTTTCCTAACAGTGACTAGATCTAGTGACACTGACTGGATCTGGTCTTGTAAGATTTCTATAAAATCACACGAAGCATTAACGGTGTGGATTAGATGGTGTTTTTTTTTTGTGTACCTGCTTTACGGCACTTTGTGCTCTTTGACAAATTCAGATTCCTAAACATCAAATTAGTGTCTTTATTGTGTTTTTCCTGCCGTGTTGGTCTGTGTGCATATGGGATCTGCCGAGGACCAACTCACTCTTCCTACTTTACGTCCTCTTGCTGAAGTAGAGAAAAAGTCCAAATATTTACCCTGCGCCTTTAAAACTGCTTCTTCAGCCCAAACACATTGCGGGATTGTTTTCTTTTGTTTTGGCACAGATGAAGCAGCTGCTTGACGTCGTTTGTGGTTTTTGGGACGAGATTGGACAAAGCTTGGATGTCACTCCAGTTTGGCAAACTCATCCCAACTGTCGAGCTAACTCTCCTAGTACTTTAACTCTTAAACAGTGTGTTCCAGGTGGATCTAACCCAGTGTAGCATAGTTTGATAGCGGGGGAAATAGTTAAAAATTTTAAGCTTGTACTGATGCACTAATGACACACAGACGATTGCAATACCAGGTCACGTCAAGTAGACTTTGTCATTCCTTTCATTCCTCAGATAGGAACAAAATATAGTTTCCCCAGAATCACAGTGCTACACTTCACATGAAACAGTGACAGACTTAGAGCATAAATAAACACTGTGACAGGCAGTACAAAGTCAATACATACAATAAATCCAGACAACAGACTACACAATAAACTATACAAAAACAATCCTGTAAGCATAGTACTAATACTGCTGTTGTTCTTCTTCTTCTTCTTCTTTCGGCTGCTCCCGTTAGGGGTCGCCACAGCAGATCGTTGGTCCGCGTATTTGATTTGGCACAGTTTTTATGCTGGATGCCCTTCCTGACGCAACCCTCCCAAGTTTTATCTGGGCATGGGACCGGCACTGGAAGTGCACCGTCGTGTGCAAGCCCAGTGGCTGGGGTTAGTTCCCTGGCTAGGACTTGAACCCGGGCTGCGGCGGTGAGAGTGCCATAGCCTAACCACTAGTCCTCCAGGGGCCCTGATAATACTAGTACTACTGTAATATGTTTAAATAAACTGGTTATGATGTATTAAATATTCAACTATATTAACTTGACCAATATATATACATACATATATGCACTATATTACCAAAAGTATTCGGTCACCTGCCTTGACTCACATATGAACTTAAGTGCCATCCCATTCCTAACCCATAGGGTTCAATATGATGTCGGTCCACCTTTTGCAGCTATTACAGCTTCAACTCTTCTGGAAAGGCTGTCCACAAGGTTGAGGAGTGTGTTTATAGGAATTTTTGACCATTCTTCCAAAAGCGC